CCCTCTTCGCCATTATTCCGCCACCTCATCTCCGTCCCATCTGTCAAGCCCAGCGGCACTCGCTCACCGAATTCAGCGCTCGTCTAGCGTTTTTGACAAGTTGGGCTTCGGCTATCGTTAATCATCGGTGAGGCGGGTGCAGCCATCATCGCTTTCCTCTTTCATCCCCCTCGCATCTGTTTTGTACACACATAATCACCGCATGCAGAATGGTTGTCCCCTGTGATCGATCCATCGAAGTAATATAAGTAATATACCTCTCTCGTCGCAATATTCTATGCCCATTGCTGTAGCTTTCCATTCTATTATTCTATCGAATAATGCCGCTTATCTATATATTGAACGTGTGGTACAATTGATATTGAGAAGCTAGAAGGTGCCGGAGTTCGATCTTTTTTCGCGAGTTGTTTTGTTCTTTCTACTTGTGAGCATCTAAGTAGTGATGAGACGGATTCCGAAACAGTCACCGAGATCTGTGCATCGAACAAAGAAGTGGTATACTCTGGTATTCAGCAGAGAAACTTGCGTGGTCTGGATTGGGTCTGGACACTGACGCTTGACTGCTACCTCGCTTCCGGGTAACGGACCGCAATGATATTGACACGCAAGAGCAAACAAAACATCTCTTCTTGTGTTTGTGGTTGCCAGCATTGGCAATGGCATCATCTTCCTGTTCGAATGTTTGACATGTCAAGAATTCCAATGCTATCCTCCTCACAACATTCCCGTGGTAGCTTGAACAAAACCGACGCAAGAGTCATGTAGCGCGTCTGGAACATACGCGTCGTTGGCAGGTTACGCGCTGGAAAAAATACCGCAAGCAACTGGACGACGATGAACCCAAGATCGAAGCGCAGAGCCGTATGTCTGTCCAGAAATAAAGTAGAAGTGCTCTTCCGAGACGCTTAACTCGTCCAAGTCACCCTGTTTATCGGGAAACGTCCCCAGCATCCCTTCGATCCGGATACCTCCTAATGTTTTTGACTGGAAAATCCTGGCGTAGCTTTTTGGAAGAACGTACGTCCTCGTCGCATCTATCTTCTTCCCTTCTTCTGCTTTTTCGCCGCCCAACCACAATCCCATATGATGCGAACATCACACCCTTGGAGAGGCACGCCCCCAGGCGTCCTCGGTGAAACCCCAGACTTTGTGGCCCATCCAGCGTACTCTTCTGGCGCGTCAGTCAGAAGGAACCGTTTGGGCTCTGGTCAAGAACGGAAAGCTGATGGGATGGCGTTGGTCGTTTTGGACACCAGATCCTACGTTGTTGCGAAAACCCTTACTGATGACATTCCTTGCTTAGGTTACGGAAGTGATGTATTTTGCTTCGCAAAGCTCAGAAGACGCAGAAGAACCGTGTATTCCATCTGAATGATATCACATCTACGACGGATCACATGTATGTCATCTTGAATTCGCTTCGTCAAGTTTCAAGACAGAAAGAGCAGCGTGAAAAAAATGCTCGTCAAGTATCAACGCGAACATGCGCACTCGGTCTTCTTGGCTTCCTCGGAGATCGACTGCATACCTGTCTCTTGAAATATCGTATCCATTGTTCCTTAACCGCGAATGTCGTTCACTGACAAGACAGCCAGCGCCAGACAGACAATCAGCACTGCTGTCAACGCGCATATAAACTGGCGGCATGTCATATGCAGATGCACGCTTATCACCAAATGGCGATGTCAGGCTTGCTAGATAAAGCTTATCGCGTGCTCGAACACATTTCTTCCTTCGCTGGAGTCAGCTTATTCACAAGCTCATTACGCGACGAGGATCAGGACAATGTCATACACGATAAAGGCCGTGATTGTTTGGATTCGAGCTGATATTTTCTCAAGTGATAAGAAAAAATAGGTATGTCGGGATTTGAGTCTACACTGTCTGACATTCACTCTCTTTTCCTCTTTGAGACTCGATAAGCAGTTTATTCTCCTTCAGGATTCAGCATACGGGCTCCACTAACACTTGAAACTGTAGTGCATTATATTTACATCGCTCAATCACTCACTAATTCTCTTGCAGCTCCTTCTCCACCGCATCTGCCATTTCGCCCAGCGTTTCAAACCTCCACGTCCACTTTTGCTTCGCGCCCGGCCCCCCAGGTGCAACATTGCAAGTCACCGCTGCCTGTCGATCGATCCACACGCTGCGCATGCCCAGCCGGCTCGCGGCTTCGTGGTCGTGCGGCAAGCTCTGAGCCACCGAAAGCACCTTGTCCCTGACCTGCTCGCCTGGCCCCAGCCCAGCCTGCAGGTCCCCGAAGAGCGCTGGCTGGGACGCGAAGTAATCGAGGGCCGCGCGGAACCCGCCCAGCGCGGGCTTGTAGCACCCCGTGTCCTGCGCGGTCATGATGAGGGTGAAGGGCGACCTGGAGCCCGGCGCGGCCTGTGGGTGCCAGTATTTGTGCGGGTTCGGGTCGGGGAAGGTGTACGTCTGGAGCTGGGAGGTCACGTTCGCGACGGCCTCGGAGGGGCCTTCCGAGAGGAGTCTGTGCGTGTAGCGGAAGGACTGGCGGTCGACGTTGGAGAGCACGACGAGCTTGAAGTGCGGCGCGAGGCGGCGCAGCGCGTCGACGGTGTCGGGGAATACTGGCCAGTGCTGGATCGAGTTGCCGAACGCCGTGTGCGCGTCCTCGTCCCCCGGCGCGGTCGCGCCTGCAGCAGAGGTTGACGCGCCGGCGTCGGCGGTCGAGGCGGCTGCGGGGTCTGTGGTCGCCAGCGTTGCACTGATACTCTCCTGCCCGCCACCCCCAGACAGGGCCTTGATCCGCTCCTCCAAGGTCGCGTGCAGCTTTGCTAGGAGCTCGTTGTACAGCATGTCTGGGTACTGCGCCTGGAAATCGCCCTCCACCGACATGAACGCGGACAGGGCCTCGGCGCGCGTCCAGCTCTTGGATGCGGGGTAGCGCGCGAGGAGCGGCTGGAGCGCAGTGAATATTCCTGACTCCCAGTCCTAAGTAGAAGCAAATGCAGTAATGAAAGCGAAAGCGAGAGCGTATAAGTTTAGACTGAAGATAGACGAGGTGCAAAGGGTGAGGAGGAAGGCACTCACTGCGAGGGTGCCGTATACGTCGAAGATGAGGATCTTGTGGTCAGTGAGCTTTTTGGTTGATGCAGATGAGCTAGACATGATAAATTTAGAGGCGGTGGGTGGGGGATTATTGAATGTGTTGAGGTATAATGCAGGGGACAGGCGTTTTTATCTTGAAGATGTATCGATGACATCGTGCATCGGCACCGACGTCACCGCGTATGATTCGATTGATCACTTTGGTGGTTAAAGCTGTATGCATGCCGCCGCAGCAGCTCCAGCATAAGCACCACGACGATGTCAGGCTCTTCAATGAGAGAGGGATTCGAACCCTCGCCCCTGGTTTATCTCTGGGGTTCGGATTCCATGATTTCCATCAACCTTTGAGTGTCTGCGACACCTTGCGACACGAATGAAGAATTTTATGCCTACCGCTTGTGCTTTCTCCTACCTAGTCAATGGACTCGATCCTTCCAAGACATTAGCCTATTGGAAAATTATGAGCGTCTACAGCAAGCAATATAGGAATATATACGCACTCTCGTGTAACAATCATTCGGTCCTGAAAGATCGGATTTAAGTATTGCTGAAGCAATGCAAACTTGAGATCTGGGAGAGGGACATTTAAAATGTCTGCTTCGTCTTCCTCCAAATTTACGACGGGTACAGACACATTCGAGTCGTCGACTGGAGGCTCGAGCTCGATAAGGGCCTTGAGGCTGTTAAGGTGCCCTTGGCCTGCTGGCTGGCAAAATTGTTCGCGCAGCGTTCCCAAACATAGAAAAAAATCTTACCTGGTTGGTCACTTCCAAGCAACAAGGCAGGCAAAGGAATTTCAAGTTCGAGACATCCATCCATATGCCAGGAGAGCGCTCATGCACATAACTCATAGCCAGTCAAATCAAGGTCACTCCGCAGCTCCAGCATTTGGGCAATTCTGAGTAATATGTTGGCGTATGTCGCCAACGGTTTCTTGCTTTGGAGTTATTGGTAGAGGTCTGTGTCTAAAGTTATGTGTTTAGACATGGCACAAATCACGAAGATTGAAAAGGCAAAAGTCAAAGACACCCACGCTAATGGTGTCCGTCGCCGTATCAAAAGCCTGCTCGTCATCATCCTAGGTTGTAAGGATGAGTTGGTAGTGAATAAGGAATTCGAAAAGAAAAATTTCACGGAGTCGGTTTCGATCGTCCTACGATCCTCTTTGGTTCTGTGATACTCTTCAATGGTTCCGCGAAGTTCTTTCCGCTGGAAGGATTGGGTTCAGTGACAACTAAGTATATTGATACTACCTTTCGTGGCGAAGCGTGCGTTGGCAACGTGGTAATCTTCTTGATACCGGGTTTTATCGACGCAGTGTTGACGAAGATGTGGCTCTATTTCATTAATTTCTTGATTGTAGACAAACTGTAATCACCACTCGGGCATGTTATGGTGTCCTTGCTGCCCCGAGGTTTGCGTAACGAGAGGATCAATTCCTTTCACGGTGAGTGGATTTGAAGACAATTTTCAGAAAATCCGCCATAAATGACAAATAATATGACATGTGTGTTTTGCGCAGTGTTCAGTCCTCATCCTCATCCTCGTAAATGGCTTGATCAAGGGTTGCCTTCCACGTTCCGATTCTATGATTGTTTCCGCAAAAAAATGATATACATGCAAGATTGGGGCAAACCCGCCTCTTTGGACCAGTATAAAAATTTCTGGACAAGGCGTCAGACGTTTAGGGATGGGTAGATCAGTCAACCTAAATCCTCCCGGATTGTACTTACAATAAAATTTTGATAGAGGAACTCGATCACTGGTTACCGGTTTACCAGAAGACGAACGCTTCCATCTAGTGTCTGTTCAGCAGGGTTTTGGTTTCTCTTTCAAAAAAAAAAACTAAAAGGTGATCTTGCTTTGCAGTTCTACCTTTATCCAGCAACGTATTAAAGCATCTAGAGCAAAAACAAAGGTCAAAAAGTTGATGAGAGAGGGATTCGAACCCTCGCCCCGGAGGACCAGATTACGTAATTAATGGGCACGTGAGTACCTATACTGGTGGGCATCGAATGCCCTGGTCCTTAGTCTGGCGCCTTAGACCGCTCGGCCATCTCACACCGTGAAGACAACTATCTTAACATCTTCAGAATGTGAATGGCGCTGGCTAAACATGTGCATGAACGTTGGACGTCGCTGGACGTCGACAGTGGCAGCGGACACAACAATGACCAAACCAAGACCAAACCTTCTCGTCAACCACATCCAATTTGAAGGCAATCTGAAGGACAGTCCAAATATCTCGTTCTGATTTCCCTGATCTTCCTTCAGTTCTAGATAACGAGCTTTATCCCGGCCCACTGAGCTCGTTTCTTGGCTTAGGTTGAATTTGTGGTTGATTTGTGGGCTCTTGATAAGCTCTTGAGTCTTGGTCAAGTCTTGGTAGTCTTGAATGCCTCCATTTCTCAACATTCCTTTGAACTTCTTGGTCTTACTCATCAGCCTGTGAAGGCTCTACCCGTACCAGTCTACGTTTGGGCGTCGATGCTACTTACATCACCACTACTGGTGTTATACGCGCAATATAAACATTCGAGGAAGTTACTTGTGCCTATAACCGACTCAACGCACTTTCAACTCCTAGGCGATGACACTTCTGTTCGACTCGGAACGCCCTCAATCGTCCTTCCCTCCTGTTTCTGAAGGGTATCGTTGGAGCTGGATGCATTCTTTTCGTGTTGAACCGAGCCGCGGTTCATGATTTATGCAAATTTCTGGATCCAAGGATTGAAATCCTTGGCTGTTATATACGCCAATAGCGTGCCGCACAGTATGGCGTACTTGAAGCCTGCTTGAAGCTCACAGCATGTTGTACGGGATTTTATGGGTCTTATCGCTTATCAGTATGCATATGCAAACCTTCCTTTCCGAACATCTGCCTGTTTCACCTCCTGCGCCTGCATACCTTCACGGTGCCGACTTCTGATCCCCCTGTGATAAAGGGCTTTTCTGTGTCTGTAGCTTAACAGTATGCCCATTCAAACCGTCCTTTCCGAACAATTGCCTGTTCTACCTCCTGCGCTTGCATCTCACGGTGCCGACTTTCGAATCTCGATCCCCTGTGACCTTGTTCCCTTCTTACATGCCGCGGCTCGGGCCTCCTCTCGACCAAAACACCATTTCTAAATGCGAGTTCATGCTTTTGAACTACTTTTAGAGCCTGTTGAAGCCCGAGAATTATCCCTTTCCGACCGAGCGTTTAGGCTGCCGAAAAATTTTAGCCTGCAATTTTGGCACATGTCTTCAACTTCGTCAAGATCTCGGAGGGCTAGTACCAGAGACAAGTTCCTATTGGGCATGGAGACTCTTTAAATAAGTGCGCAGCGATAAAAGAAGCTCAGGAATACGACGAAAATACGACGATGACGCCAGAGCAAATGCTACATGCTTAAAGTTTTTTTTTGAGCATCTTTTTTGCGAGTATAAAATGGCACTTGCAATTGCGAAACATATTCAGAACAAGGTGAACTACACTCCTCTAGCGATCCTCAGCATGCTCTCTAACAATATCCTTTCTGCGGCGTTGCTGTCTTTCGCAACTCTGGCCTCGGCCCACTGTACGTCGATCGTCGATCTCTTTCTCGTCTTTTTCGAATCGTTACTGAAAGACGTAATTCAATTCATTAGACACCTTCCCCTCTTTCATTTCCAATGGCGTCGTTACAGCCGCATGGGCCAATGTGAGGCAGACAAACAACTACGACAGTAATGCCCCTGTAAGCTTTTATCCACTGACTCCTCAAATCTAAATTCATTATAATAAAAAACAGGTCACCGATGTTACTAGTTCTGACTTGAGATGCTACAACTCTGACTTCCCCACCTATGAGCCTGCCACGGCCACCGTCTCGGCTGGATCTTCTATCGGCATCCAGGCTAACGGGCCCGTTTACCACCCCGGTGTACGTCTCAGTGATATCTCTGACGACGATGGATAGTCGGTGCTTACTTCTGAACATCAGGTTGTAAACATCTACATGGCCAAGGCCCCCAGCAACGTGACTGGCTGGGATGGAAGCGGCTCCGTTTGGTTCAAGGTAATAAGTGTCTCCTTGAACTTCGATTTCTTTCAACTGACGTCGTGTTTCTCAATGCTATGACATAGGTTTACGAAATCTCTGCAGTTACTGACGGTGGAACTACCATCACCTTCCCTTCTCAAAGTGATTATATACTGTTTTGTCTATCATGACTGGATCCCTACTAAGCATTGATTTCGTCGTTTAGATGCTCTGTCCTACAGCTTCAACATCCCCACGGCCCTTCCTTCTGGCCAGTACCTCGTCCGCGTTGAGCAAATTGCCTTGCACGTCGCATCGACTTTCGGAGGCGGTAAGCTACTAATTTGACTCTCTACGATAAATATACTGATCCTGTTGTTCTAGCTCAATTCTACCTCAGCTGTGCGCAGGTCAACGTCGTTGGCGGTGGAAGTGGCACCCCTGGACCTCTTGTCGCCATCCCAGGAGTCTACACTGGAAATGTGAGACGTTGAATCCCATTGATTTCTAACAGGATTTGAATTCTATTCCCTTATAGGAACCCGGAATCTTGATTGACATCTACTACCGTAAGCTAATAATGGGAATCAGTTCATAGGTCAATTTCTAACGGATAACATTCCTATTTTCTAGCCATTCCTGCTACTTACGTCCAACCTGGACCTGTAAGTATTTTCTGCATCTTATTATATCTGCGCGGTACTAATCTAATTTTATATTTTCCCAATAGGCTGTCTGGTCTGGGTGAAAGGTTCATTAGTGCCGATAATGGCAATTCGATAGAACCCCATCTACCTCAAATCTAACCTAGCCGAATTATATCGGATACTGTACTTGTAGTTATGCCGTCTTTGTCTATCTTGACCCATTCGTCCCCTTTTTGCTTCTAGTTCGTTGGCACATAGAGCCTAAGTCTTTTTGTGGGTTCTCCAGTGTTTTGTATTTCCAAAGACTATCTGTTCGTGCAGAGGCCGCTAAACTCTCTAGCTATTATTTACGCTATGGAAAGCATGGCGTATTTTAAGCCACAGCCAAGCCACAGCAGAACCACAGCACATTATATATTCTGTAAGTAGCTTGCAGTACGCGCATCCGGATTCCGGACCGCCTATTCCGAATTTTAACCTCAACTCTCTTTCACCGCTTGCTGCAGAAGACCGGGCCCGCCGGGTAAGACTGTAGACTGTGGACTCGGAGACTCGGCACACCTGATACCCGGTTACCTCCAGACGAAACAAACAACGGCATGGCGTCGGCCTGCGCCTCAGCGCGCCTCGCCGCGCATACGCACTGCACAGATCACCGCAGGATCACCGTCTCAACACCGTCTAAGTACCCGTTTCCGTCTTATGTGTTCTTGTCAACTGCGCAGAAAATCAGCGGTGTACTCTGCCTTGTTCCTTGCTCTCCACCTTCATTCGTACAAAACTTATACTTCTAGTGCAATTTCATGAGTAATGTAGATTGTAAATAACATCTTCATGGCAATCAATTTGAACAAATTTCTACATTAAAATGGTGATCCATGAGTTTGTAAATTCGACAAGTAGGCAGCCGTCGGGAGTAATACCACGGTTTCATGGTTGGTGCCATCCTCGAAAACTAGCGAAGGTCATTGGTTTGGTTGTCCGGACAGTGGACTCCTCATCGCCAACTGCGTAAGGTGCCGCGGGCTGCAGCGTTCGCAGAGGCTTCCAGTATGACCAATGTTGTTGCTGACAGAACACCGAGCACACTTCAAAGGCGGGAGGCATGGATCGCTGTCAGTCCTCGTAAACCATCCATACATACTATCTTGTTTGTGGATTAATGTTTTTTACACGGTCTTCGCTCCCATCAAGCACCGCACCTCCAGGGTCAAGCGTCTCGATGCCAACTCGATGCCGCAGAGGCTGCAATGCATGCAGCCTCTTTGAACATGTAGACGGTTTAAAAATGTGCTTGTCGTTGGGGCCGTGGACATCCGAGATCTGTAGAGTTGCCCGGAGGGCACCCTCAATGTAGATCAAAAACCCCCCCTCTTGCGTCTTTGCACCGCAGGAACTGCTTTACGAGCAGCACCTTTGTATGCACAGACGGTGCAGGGGGGTGGGAGGTGCATCCAACGGGTGCAAAGCAGTGCCGACGGGGGCAGCGAGGCACCGCCACGCCCAAGCCACGCCGAGCAGGACCGCCCGCACTCGCCCGACGAGCGGGATGCGGCCGTGCAGCTACAGTGCGAGCGCCTGGGCGGGGCGCTGCTAGGGCCCGCGAGTGACAGTGCGGCGACGGGTGATGTGCATGTAATAAGTCCGGACGGTGTCAGTTGGGAACACCCGCCGATTTCGCCTAACACATGCGGCGTCATCGTGGCGCGTAAGGTGCCCTCGCATTATCCCGGCCAAACCGGATGGTCGCGAGCTCGGGCGCACAACTGCTCGAGGCGGGCGTGGTGCGAGTCGTGGTGGGCGGTGCAAATTGATGTTGGGCGGCATTCGGGCGAAACAGCGGCGGGGCGGATGTGACTGTTGCGTGGCGAATGGAAACGGGCATAGCGGATGGAGGAGGGCAGGCGGCGAATCGAGGTGGGCAGGCCGAAGCGGGATTGCACTGGCGTCGGGACAAGTCACGTCAGCGAGCAGTGGCTGCAAACAGGGGAGGGGACAGACCTGTGAGGCGAGATGGCGACGACACGTCATTCCGCTCCTCACACCTCCTTCGTACCTCCCGGACACCTTGGTCGTGGGCGTAAATGTTTGTATGCATTTCCGAGCTTCTGCGCGTGGTGGCGACTAGGAGCGCGCAATGGTAGTGGATGGTCACCGCGAGTTGACAACTGTGGTGGGAGTGGATGCGGGCGCGGCGAGCGAGAGTCGGTGGTGGGGGTAGACGTAGGCGCGTCGTATATGGCCGGTGAAATGAACAGGCGTCGTGTGACGTCGTGTGGACCGACGACAGTGGCGGCGACGAAGTGCCTCGGAAAAAAGGAATTACAGAGGAGGTCAAACATCCCGAAAGTGCCGAGAGCAGCAGGCAGCGGCATCCGCACGGCACCGGAACTTGCCAGTCTTCAGTCTACA